GTGCCGTTCAATTACACGGGGACGCAGCCTAGTAATTTTGCGACGACACAAGGGACAAGGCTTTACAGACTTGCGTACAAGTCGACGGTGCAATTGGTGTTGCAAGATACTGGAATGATAACCCCGGAAAACCATCCAATTCATTTGCATGGCTTTAACTTCTTTGTTGTTGGTAAGGGCTTAGGGAACTTTAACCCCAATAAGGATCAGAAGAATTTCAATCTTGTTGATCCTGTTGAGAGGAATACCATCGGAGTTCCTTCTGGTGGATGGACTGCTATCAGATTCAAGGCTGATAACCCAGGTAATAACTAATAACAAAACTTATTTTGTAGAAAAAAAATTGTAAACACGGGGTCTAAAGTACTATAGAAAAATTAATGTCAATAATATTCACTACTCATTAGTTACATGACCATGTAGAACTGTGGTTTTTGTATATTAATCTGGTCAAAATTTAACACATGCATATATATGATTCATAGAAAATGGCAGTGATGCATAAGAAAAGTTATATATATATATCAACCATTAAATATACGAAAAAAGGGGGATTTATGTCTATTAATCTATTTTTTGCTTTGCTTGATAGGGGTTTGGTTCATGCATTGCCATCTGGAAGTGCACACGACATGGGGACTTAAGATGGCATTCGTGGTGGACAATGGGAAAGGCCCTAATGAATCTCTTTTGCCACCTCCCATTGATCTTCCCAAGTGTTAGTGAATGTGGCTGTGGAAAATGAGTACTACAAACAGATCAACAGAGGACAAGAGAGAAGAGTTCTTTTGAGCTTGCTAAAAGAAGCTGCTCACAGTTGAATAAGCCGGCAAAAATGTTGTCCTTTCTTTCTTTCAGTTTTTTTTGTTTTTTGGTTCTCCATTTTTGTTTGCAAGATCGACAATTTTTGAAGTGTATGTATTTATGAATGTTGTTGATTCGAATAAAAAATAAAGGATTTTAGTTTGTGGCAAATTTTGAACTTGGCAAAATTAAACATTGAAATAAGAAAGAAAGGAAAAAAAAAAGAAAAAAGAAAAAAAAACATCGTGGCATTTTTTTCCCATTTAACCCGCAGACAACTAATCGAATTGTTCAAAGCCAGTCTTCATCATAGATCATTGGATCACAAGTCCATGTCTTCTTTATGTTGATCTATTCAGTGATTCGTCAGAAACTTCATTAATCGAACGTGATAAATGTTCGTTCTTTATCTTGTAGTATGAAAATCTTTCGGTCTCTTGTCCACTACAGTAGTAATTACAGATATAATAAGGCCATGCTAAGCAGGAGAATAAACATCCCGAATCAATTAAGGAGACTGTAAATATTTTCCTAGAATATATGTCAAATTACGCAATCGAACATATAATTTGATAGTTGATATTGTTGCTAGACAAATCCCTCGTAGCCAATCGGTTAAAGAATCTTCAAAGACTATTGTTGATAATAATTATTTGCCCACAGATGTTATTAATAAAAGATGTCTCGCTAATTCCTCCCGCAGCTAACCTGGACATAAATACCACACGTTCATGCATATTGGAGAGCAAGAAAGCAAGAGAGGAAAACAAAAGCAAATGGTGAAATGACAACTACTAATTCACAACATTGATTAAAAAAAAAGGGAAAAAAAATTCTTAGTTTGGATCACAAGGATCCTAGATTTGGACTTGTGCCTAATTTATATGAGTTTAAAATTTTACCCATTGTTCTTAATTAATACACTTTTATCTAATATAATTATTTAATTAAAAAATATATAAAAAATAAAAAATAAAAATTCAGATTCATGTGCTCTATAATTATTTGCCTTTTTTTCCTTGAATTGAATTGCATGAGTCCTAACCGAACACACAACAATATGTCACATTATAAAGGACAATGGTACTATAAAGGAACGACACGGACGCAGTATAAAAAACGAAGCTAATCATGACAATGATAATAGCAACAACCACCTGAGGAACGACTACAATCGATTGAAAGGACAAGTACTGAAAGAAAACGATAGCAGTACTATAAAATCGACAATGCAAGAAAACGACAACATCTTTTTTGAGAGAAAACGACAACAATTTTAAACAGCAACAACTGAACAAAAACAACAGCACTGTGAATAGGACAACAACCGATGGAATACAAGTACAAAAAAGACAGAACTGTACGAACATAAATATCCAAAAAAAAAAAAAAATTAAGTAGATGTTTAGTTGATGAATTTATAATAATGATTCAGAATTATTTTTTATTTACGTGTGTTTTTTATGAGAAAAAATACAGTAACGAACCACGAACTATTATTCGAATCATGACATGAATCTTGCAACCAAACAACCCAAGTTAAGTGAAAACGAAAAGATTCAAAGAGACAACGCTACAAAAAGATAACAGCACAAATGATACCAACCATAAAAATGACAATTGTTGTAAAAAAACAGTAGTATTGAGAAAACGGTAAAAAAATATTGGGTGCGTTTGTAACTCATTTCAAAATAATTTTATTTTTTATATGAAAATAGAAATGAAAATATTTTTAATTTCAGACAGAAATCATTTTTAAAAATGCGTTTAGTAGTTTTATCAAGATATTGTTTTCAGTATAAAAAATCCATTAATGTCTCTCTCTCTCACTCTGTGCTCGAGAGATGAGAAAGCGGAAACAAAAAATAAAAAATAACTAAAAGTCGTTTTTATTTCTCTCTCATTTTACACAAACAAAAAATTATTTTCATTTTTTATTTTTTATTTTTAATTGTATCAAACGTTATTTCTCTCCTATTTTCTTTTTTTTTTTTCAAAAAACGTAAAAAACAAAAATAAAACTAACTTCAAATACGGCCATTATAAACGAGGATGATGACAAAGGATTGGTGTAAAGGATAGAAGCCACAAACAACGTTGACGGTTGATCTGGGGGAAAAAACAATGATTTAAAAGACGACAATTATTATATATAAATAAACGACAATGATTACGGAAAACGACAATTATCCATCAAATGAAATCGCCTGTAATGACTTTAGAAGCTAGGCTTTTTATGGAAATTGGAAAATAGCATAAATTTTACTGATCACAGATAATGAGTATATATACACAAAGAAGTTGATAAGCAACAGCTAGCAAATTACTTAAAAACATGCTGATTACAATAATTTATACATGTGGTTAATTTACACAATACAAATTAATTAAATTTAAATGTCCCAAAGATAATGAACGACAAATAAACAAAAGGAAGATTTTGGAGCATCAATTTTAAAAATTAAAAAAAAAAAAAAAAAAAAACTTGATGAATATCCATAGTTTAGAATTATGTCACAAGTGTATTTTTTTCAAACCTAACTTCAGAATTCTCTCCTTATAATATATATCTCTCAGTAAATAGAATCAAATTCAGTTCCTCTTCATACCACAACATAACATTTTTTTTTATTACACACTAGTTTTTTCTTCCAGCTAAATGATCTATTGTCTCCTAGAATTTGCGGAGTATAAAAACACTTATGTCAATCTTGACTTTTAGTTAAATTCTAAGGATATGAAAACAGTTATTGAAAATGAGATTTCATTTATTCAGAAAAGTTCATCGAATGTGTAGGGACTGCACTCAGCTATACATGTAAACTCTCGACCATTTTTTTGAAACATTATAGAGCTTCTTAATTTATTTATTATTTAAAAAAATAAATAAATTTAAATAAAAAGATAAAATTTGCTCATATCATCAGCTAAACTAATCCACCTCTAAAAGTCTTGCTTTGAGAAATCAAACTACGTCTCCAATGGGGCAAGCACCATAGTTTGAAAACTATTCCTCAACTATAACACAATTGTTGCGGGTAATACATCCACTTTGCATCTGTTATATACCCACCACTAAATATCCACTGACCATGTTACCCACCACGAACAATTATTATTTTAATGTATGTACGTATGTAAGCAACATTAGCAACATAATTAGCAACGTCCATGCAATTACAAAATTAACTATTACAGCAGAAGTAGTTGTACATATTAAAAAAAAAATATATATATATATATATATTCTCAATATATTTGCTTTTGCTTTTGTATATATGCAAATATATATCTGTGCGTGTGTGATTATAGTATATAGTTAAGCTAGCAAACAAATTTTCAAATTAACAAGTGGTAATATAAAGCACAATGGTCATTGTGCAAGCCATTATGTTACAACCAAACACATGAGATAAATATTAGATACAAAATGGACCCGTTTAGCTGAGATGTTACTTTATGTGAGAGTTTTATACTATAACAAAAAAATTAAATGTGACTGTTTCTGAGAACTTTTCACTGTAATAAAACTCAAATCGGTGAAATGAACGGAACCAATATTGCATTAACCTAATCGCAAAACGCAGATAACTATCACAAAAATAATAATAATAATAATAATAAACGCAAGCTAAAAAGTTAAAGAGGGGTTCTGTTGAGTTAGTTGACAATATCATTCTCACTGACCAATGTGCTTTCAAGGTGGTGGAATAGTTATTACCAATAAGCTTACTTTTTGGTTTCCGTTAGCTGGGATCGGGTGTACTTTACCCAATACGGTTACACCAAACCCCCCAAAGCTGGTGATCTCCTCGTCGCCCAATTGACAAATAAATTATTTTTTTTCTTTTTGTTTTTGGAATTGACAAATAATCGGTTATAGTATTATATGATACAGAAAGAGCTCAACTAATATATATGTAGCTTCGCTTCGAAAAAAGTGGCACGGTTTTGACGGATAACTACTTTGTGTATTACGCAAGGAAAAAAAAGAAAAAAAAAAAAGAGTACAAGTTTCCTTAGCCAGATTAAGTGTGTACGTTGGTCGAGCTTCGTTCTCAAGTATGCTTCATCAGTCCACCAAACTGAGTAAAAACGACGTGGCAACAGAGAATACTACTATTTTCTCAATATCAACTCTATTATAAGATTGGCTCCAACAATCGTTCCAGAGTGCACCGATTGAGAACTATATCTAAACCATAAAAATATTTGTGGTAGAGAGAGAGATCAGAGAGAGAGAGAGAGAGAGAGAGATGGAGATGGTACCGTGGGTTCGTGTATTGATACTTGTGGCTTGTCTATTTCCGGCATCGGTCGAATGCATGGTTCGACACTATAAGTTCAACGTAAGTAAGCTTGTAGGTTTGAGAAATACCTATTAACAACATTAATTAGCGACATTCTAATATTGATCACTGCTAATTAATCTCGTTCTTACTTAGTATTAGTAGGATATATTATAACATTATTGGTGCTTAAAGACAGTTTTTTTTTTTTTTTTTTTTTTGTTGCGTCATTTGTTTGATCAATTTGTCGGGATAACTATTGCGTATATGTGTGTTTTTTCGGCGTAAAATTTAATCTAATGACCTTTATGTTAGTGTAATGGTGTTATCAATTGATTTTTGTTCCTCTCCTTGAAAAAATAAATCACGAAAGGTTGTGCTTCTTGCAAGTCTCATTATCAATTGCTTAATGAGGCCATGAGAACAATTTTTTTGCTTAGTGAAACTTTTATGAGGAGCAACTCAAGTATCACATAGTTAGTAGTGTCGTTTAGAAAGCCACAAAAGTTCCTATGTTAAACTGATCCATGCATGAATTATTTTCTTTAAACGATAAGCTATTTAGAGAAATTAGGCTGGCTGTGTTACGTAGGTGGTATTGAAGAACAGCACAAAATTGTGTTCTAGCAAGCAAATTGTCACTGTGAACGGAAAATTTCCCGGTCCCACAATATATGCAAGGGAGGACGATACCCTTTTGGTCAAGGTGGTCAACCACGTCAAATACAATCTCAGCATCCACTGGTGAGTCTCTGTGTTTTTTATTTTCTTTTTCGGCCAAAAAAAAAAAAAGTTTTAGGCCAACTGATCGGTCCTTCACAGAAGGACCTTCCTATATTTGCTATAGGCCATATGAGAGATATAACTTGACATCTATTCTATGTAACAAAACGTTAGAAATTTGTAAAGCAAAAGAAATTTTAGCTTAATTTCAAATCAGTGTTATGCATTTCCAACGTCATTAGATAAAATAAACATTATGTAAATATTATGGTGTAGAGTAAATGGACAGAAGACAAACCGAAGTATTTTATTCTCAACCTATTTCAATAATTTGTTTCTAAAGTACTATATTATTCTTTCGATGGAATATTTGATCAAGGCACGGGATCAGACAACTTAGAACGGGGTGGGCCGATGGGCCAGCATACATTACACAATGTCCCATACAACCAGGGCAACAATTTGTATACAACTTTACAATCACAGGTCAAAGAGGCACTCTTTGGTGGCACGCACACATCCTGTGGCTCAGGGCCACCGTCCATGGAGCCATTGTCATTTTGCCAAAGCGTGGCGTCCCCTATCCATTCCCAAGACCTCACAAGGAAAAGGTTCTTGTTCTAGGTGAGCTTGAGCACTGTACATTAATTAGTTTCATTTATCACGTTTGTATAATTTAGTTAGCTATACAAGTTTCTGGTCAGAAATAAGATCAGAGAAACGAAATCAAAAAGAGAATTTGGATGTAGCTGTTAGATACTTGAATCTGATCTAAGCCCATCTAATTTGATTTGCAGGTGAATGGTGGAAATCTGATGTGGAAGCTGTTATCAACGAGGCTTTGAAATCTGGCTTGGCTCCAAATGTTTCTGACGCTCACACAATCAACGGCCAGCCAGGTCCTGTCTCAGGCTGCACCTCACAAGGTACATATATGTATGTACGTATGTATGTATGTCTGTGTGTGTGTGTGTGTGTGTGTGTGTCAGAAATATTTCTTCTAGGTAGTAATGTTTCTCAATATATAATTCTTAAAAGACATACATCTTTATACTGATTAATTGGCATTTATATAGAGATCAAATTAAATTGAGATAACTTTGTGAGAAATATATGTTCTGCTTTCTGATCCTTCTGATCATGCGTGATAATAAACAGGAGGATTTACACTACCAGTAGGAGCGAGCAAGACGTACCTCCTAAGAATCGTCAATGCTGCACTCAACGAAGAGCTCTTCTTCAAGATTGCCGGCCACCAACTCACCGTCGTCGAAGTTGACGCCGTCTACACCAAGCCCTTCAAAACCGGTACCGTCATCATCGCCCCAGGCCAAACCACAAACGTTCTTCTAAACGCAGACCGAAAAGCCGGCAGATACTTGGTCGCAGCAACGCCATTCATGGATGCTCCGATTGCCGTAGATAACAAGACCGCCACCGCCACGTTACACTACTCCGGAACTCTTTCGAGCTCTCGCACCATTCTCACAGCCCTACCGCCTCAAAACGCCACTTCAATAGCGACCAACTTCACGAGCTCACTCAGAAGCCTCAACTCTAAAAAGTACCCCGCTAGGGTTCCTCTAAAGATAGACCATTCCTTATTGTTCACCATTGGTCTCGGAGTCAACCCTTGCAAGACCTGCGTCAACGGAAGCCGAGTGGTGGCCGACATCAACAATGTCACCTTTGTTATGCCGAATATTGCTCTCCTTCAAGCCCACTTCTTCAACATCAGCGGAGTTTTTACCGACGATTTTCCCGGGAAACCGCCGGTGCCGTTCAATTACACGGGGACGCAGCCTAGTAATTTTGCGACGACGCAAGGGACAAGGCTTTACAGACTTGCGTACAATTCGACGGTGCAATTGGTGTTGCAAGATACTGGAATGATAACCCCGGAAAACCATCCAATTCATTTGCATGGCTTTAACTTCTTTGTCGTTGGTAAGGGCTTAGGGAACTTTCACCCCAATAAGGATCCGAAGAATTTCAATCTTGTTGATCCTGTTGAGAGGAATACCATCGGAGTGCCTTCTGGTGGATGGACTGCTATCAGATTCAAGGCTGATAATCCTGGTAATTACCAAAGTTTTCCTCGAACATTTGAAAATTAAAGAAATAAATAAATAAATAAAAGACAGTAAATATCCACTGATTTTTTGACAAGACAGAATTTATTGGGTAAAAAAAATATACGAGTAAATGTGAAGAAACTATGAATCTGAACCTAAAATAAAATAAAATAAAATAAACAACTGTGATCACAAGCTGAGAATATCACATGTTAATATTGTAGTAGTCTGTAGTGACATTCCATTACGGAAGCACTCACAGTACCTGTGGGAGAATTTGCTCCAGTCAGATTTTAAAATTTTTAACTTTAATTTATTCAAGCTATGCTCTACTTTAATATGAAAAATTATAATCGATGATTGCTCAATTATATAAACTTACAAATATGTTCTCATTCAATAACGGAAAAAAAAAAAAAAAATCATCTCTTATTTGTGCTCTAACTGAAAAAAAAAAAAAAAAAAAAAAAGAAGCATTCAATAGTGATATATTTTGCATTGCTCAGCTAAATATATATTAGAATTCTAAAAATAAATAAATAAATATTAGAAGACTACGAACTGATCCCTTCTTTGTGTATGTGTTTTTATTTTTATTTTTATTTTTATAGGGGTTTGGTTTATGCATTGCCATCTAGAAGTGCACACAACATGGGGACTTAAGATGGCATTCGTGGTGGACAATGGGAAAGGCCCTAATGAAACTCTTCTACCACCTCCCACTGATCTTCCCAAGTGTTAGCGAACGTGGCCAATTCCAAGCATTTCCCTTTGCATTTGAAAGGAAAATGAGTACTGCAAACAGATCAACAGAGGATAAGAGAGAAGAGTTCTTTTGAGTTAGCTAAAGGAAGCTGCTCACAGTTGAATAAGCTGGCAATATTAATGTTGCTCTTTCATTTTTTTTTTTTCCTTCACTTTGTGGTTTGCCAGGCCAAGAATGTTTGAATTGTATGTATTTATAAATGATTTTAATTCAAATTATAAAAAAAAAAAAAAAAAAAAAATTTGTGTCAAAAAACTTGCGAGCATACAAATTTTGTGTTCTTTTTTAAATATTAAAAGATGTTTGTCCTATTTTCTTCTTTTCATATTACCTTAAGAGGGAGATAGCTAAAGAATGCCCAGAAGGCCAAACTGAAGAGGTTGTTCTCAAATTATAAGAACACTTTTTTTTCTTTACGAAAATTGTAGTAAATAGCCTAATTATGAAAACAAATTACGTAAATGAGCAGATTTTAAAACTATTTTAAAACTATTTAAAGTAAGTAGCTGTTTATTATGTAAATGTTTATTTATGATTAGTAAAAATAATTTACATAGTAAAAAATCTTTATTTACGTAAATAAAAAAAATTAGTATTATTTCAAACAATTTTAAAATATATTATTTACTTAATTTAGCTCCATAAATATTCTTTCTCCCTTTTTTATTATTATTATTTCTCTAATTTTATCAATTCAACCCACACCAATGACACTATTCATCGAGTTTAACCCAATGTTCGTCGGTACAATCCACTTTGTGCCATGATGGTTGGGGGTGTGATCAAGTCAAAGGTTCGAGGCTTGTAGACAGCAACAAAACCCAATGTTTGCTAATTGGACTACCTCAATCTGGTCGAATGTTCTTACCCTAGCCCAGCCCAATAATATCTTCATTTATTTTTCTCTCTCCCCCCTCGTGTGAAAGGATGACATGACACGATGGCTAACACCATAGGTTTTTTTTTTTTTTTTTTGCCTTCCAGAAAAAAAAAAAAAAAAGTATTTACCCCCAAAATAAAGAAAAACTACGCAGTTAAATTAATCTGAAAAATATGACTATACATGTGAGCTTTTGTCTCACAATCAGGATCCATCGTTTGGTCCCAAAAACTCAATTACAATCATAGAAAATAAAAGGTCCGTTTAGTTCGCTGATTCGAGTTTTTAATTCGAGTTGAGATGTGATTTTATATGAGAGATTTTTACTGTAGTAAAAAAGTTAAATGTGATTATTTCTGAGAACTTTTTACTGTAATAAAACTCAAATTATAAACTCAAATTGGTGAAATGAACGGAACTAAGATATCAACAAACACTGCGATATGAAGAATGTCATTTGTCCCATTTTAGAAATTAATAAAAAAATAAATAAAAGGAAAAAAAAGTTATGGGTTGTAATGTATAATACTAATAACAACAATGGATAATGATCTTTGATGAATTATTTATTATTGGATTTAACAATTGTTTTTTGTTACTCCGAGTTTTTTATTAGTTAGGGCTGTACAGCACTTAACAGGAACAATGAATCTGCATTTTAATTATTTTAAGCCAGCCTCCACGCGTGCGTGCACATGACCTGGTCCACACGCTTACCGGTGTGCCCTAAGAGTACTCCCAAGTCCCAACCCAAGCACACATTCACAGATTGTGTCATTGTCTGACTTTTAGGAAAAAAAAAAAAAAAAAAAAAAAGATGGAATCTTTCTCCTAATGGAAACAAATTTATGGCGTTGCCCTACATTTTCTCTAATATATAAATTTGACCCTTTCTAATTTTGATGCATGTGCTATTGTGCTCTTAGCCTAACGAGTCTTGAGAGGACGAGATCATGACAAACCTGCATATTCTTTTACTCATGATGCTTCAAGTTTATCACTTCAAAAAATAAAAAATAAAAAAATAAAAAAAAAATAAAGAAAGAAAGAAAAAGGAAAAAACAAAAAGGTCATATAGTTTAATCATGGCACAAAAAGAAAGTAGAGATATTGGTGCATATTATTGATAGCACCCGAGGCAGGATAAAGCTTAATCTAAGTCCTAAAATGTTGAACTAGTGTACTATATAAAATAGAGAATTTCTAATTCCTATTTATTAATCATTAGATCTATATTATATTTAATTTGATTTGACTTTTAATTAGATTTAATATAAATTCAACGGTTGATAAATAAAATAATATTTTTAAAAAAGAGAAAATACTAAAAAAAAAAAAAGAAACACCACTCAAAATAGTAAAAAAATATTATTGATACTACTTCACTAAAAAATAAATAATTATCATTCAACTAATAATAACAATTGTCATAAAGTCCCTAATAATAAATAGAAAATAAAAGATTAATATGCACTCAATTATTTAGAATGACATAAATAATAGACTTTCATAAAATCATGATAAGCAATGTACTTTTCTCATAATTTATTATTGGTGCCTTATTTTTTCCATTTGATGTTATTTTTCCTTTATTTTCTTTTGTTTTTTCTAGTCTTGGTAGGCGAATCACCAATGATGTTATTTAATATATTTTTTCTAGTCATGTAGTGGCACATTTGACACCTATTATTCAACAACTTGCAGTATTGTTTTCTTTGAATTCCCAACGCTGCTTATGATTGGCCGCAAAGTTTTTAATCTTGGAAAAGCAATAACTAGTCGGTTGATATTTGATAGCACTTGAGAATAAGTGACAGAAAAACCGGCACGTGGTTTGCTATTTGAAACATGCAAATCTTATAAATAACATTATAAGACTCACTGATCTCCTCAAGTATTGAACCTTCCAAATATTTATTCAATTAACAAATTTAGTAATTTTTCCCTTTTATTTTTTATTTTTTATAGGATTCAGGTTAATAAATTAGTTGTTGGTTTAGCGGTTATTTTGAAGTTACTAATTAATGCATAATGTTTTCCACTTCAATCTAAAGTGAACATCGAAGGACAGCATTAATTTGGTGCGTGGCGTCTAAAACTAATTAAAATTATGACCTTTTTATTTAACTAATTAAAATTATTACTTTGCTCACTACTGCCGACTGCGTAGTCCATAGTCATACCCCCCCGTCTAAGAAAAGAAAAACTTTTTTGTCTTTTGTTTTCTCATGTGCCCATATCATCATTCATCAAGTTGAACTTGCTTTATTCTTCCAACAAGAGTTTTCTTTCTTTTTTCCTTAACTCCTTTTTTTTTTTTTTGGCTTTTAAAAAAGAAATCCCTTGAAAAAGAGGCCCTGGCCTCTGATTTTAGGCCTATAATGGTTTAGTGTTTTTCCTTTTTCCTTTCCTCAATGAATTATTATAAGAGATCTCTAGCCGACAAAAAAAGAGAGAGAAAAAAAAAAGCCACATCCTTTCAAGAAGAAGAAGACGAAAAAGAGAAGGATAAAGTTACTTAACATGAAGAATTAAAAGTTAAACGAGAGAAGATGTGAAAATTCATTTTCACGGCGATCTGAGGGCCTAAGGCTCCGTTCATTTCGCTGATTCGAGTTTAAAATTCGAGTTTTGTTACAGTAAAAAGCTCTCACAAACAATCACATCTAACTTTTTTACTACAATAAAAAGCTCTCACATAAAATTATATCTCAACACGAATTAAAAACTCGAATCAGCGAACTAAACGAGCCCTAAGCGTCGATTACTATTGCATTAACAAAGTTCTTTTTTCTTGGATTACGAGATAAACACCTTATTCATCGGTACAAGAACAGATAGTTGAAAGTGGCCTTTTTGGCATGGAAAAAGAATGATAGTGTGAAATGTACTAAAAAAAGAGACAAATATATTAATAAATAGATACTTAAAAAATAAAATAAAATAAAATTAGCTCACATGTTAACTAATATTATAATCTTTAAAGACACATTTATTAAAAGTAAAAGCAAAAGAACCGCATTCTGTTCTTTCCAAGTCAGGTAAATTCTTGCAGTACATGATCAACATGCAAAGATATAGTGGGAAAAGAAAAGAAAGGCATCTAAAAACGTTGTTATTTCTCGTCAATAAAACCAAATCACGAGAATGATTGAAAGAATTGGACAAGGAAGAAGGACGATTTGTTGGGGCTTCCAGCCATATCCCCCCCCACCTTATTAATGGACACGTTTTCCTATTGAATAGAGAGAGAGAAGGGTGGTTGGGGTGCTTGATTCGAGGTGCCCAATGAAAAGATGATATTGGTGTGGGACTTGGAAGTGGCCCTCAGGGTAGTTTACTTCACAAATTTAAAATTAAAAATTTAAATATGTAAAATAAATGAGATCTTAAAGGATGTTTGGTTGGAGGATTTAAATCATGTGATTCAAATTATTTTTTATTTACGTGAATTTTTTATGAGAAAAAATACTGTAGCAAATCATGAATCATGATTCGAATCAGGGAACGAATCTCTCCACCAAATGGACGCATTTTTTTTTTCACGGGATCATTAATAGCGTTGAAGATTTTTGTTCCCTCGATTAGAAATTGTACTTTAATCGAAGTATAGTTTATAATAGAAATAATTATGTATCCTATATTATAAATTTTTAATACAAATATATACAGATTTAATTTAATGATTAAAAATAAAAATTCACCTTTTCCACGGTAAAAATTCATTTTTTCACAGACAGAACATGTTACATGTGATAAAAAAATTGGCATCTGAAGTTCAGCACTTGGGCTGTGACGGAGATGAAGTAAATGGCCCATCTCAGCCCAATTTTTTGGAATTCCTCAAGTCCAAAAATTTTTGCGTCATTTTTGGTGGAGACCGAAGAGCTGAAGATTCGTGAATGTTGATTGGATTATTTGCCGTCTTTTTTCTTTTCCTGGGTATTATTCTGACATTGATTGAGGCTGTGGTGGTCGGTGAAGCGGTGGGGAGAGTTGAAATCTTTTCTTTTTCTGTTTATATGGAGAAGAATAGTATGAAGGAAAAATGTAACAGAACGTTAAATTTCTTTTTTTGAATTGAGCACTGAATGTTTAACAGTGTTAAAGTAACAAGAATGTCTCGGTAGTTTACTGACTAGTAAATGAGAATAACATAAAGTAAAATCACATGACAAGTAATTTCTAATTCCAAGAGTTTTTGGATATAGAAAAAACATACAATTTTCAAACGAAGAAGAAGAAGAAAAAATTAGGGGTCCGTTCACTTTACTGATTTGAGTTTGT